TTTGTGTCCCAGTCCACCAGTGATGGTCTGTGACCGAGTCCACCAATGATGATCGGTGGCCCAGTCCACCAATGATGGCCTGTGGCCCATTCCATCACTGATGGTGTGTAGCCCAGTCCACCACTGATGGTATGTAACCCAGTCCACCAATGTTGCTTTGTATGTTCCAGTCAACAGTGGCTCAGTCCACCGTTGATTTTCTATTATGTCATACTTCACCACTGATGATGTGTGTGTCCCAGTGTGTGTCCGAGAGAGAGAGAGAGAGAGAGAGAGAGAGGGATTAACGTTCACATGACACAAACTAGGCCATTTCGGGAATAAAATATGGTTCAATTTTATTTCAATAATTCGCTTGAGCGCATATGGGCCTTTAATTAGTTGTGGCAGGAAACCAGAAGACCGGGAGAACACTAATGAAGCTGGACCGGCGCAATATCCCTTGTCACGCACAAGCTGGGAATCGAAATCACGCCATTTGACCTAATGACAGACCTTATGACCCAAAGCGCACACGTTAGACCATTCGGTCACCAAAAGTCCCAAGTAGAATTTTAGAAACGTTAAAGTGATTTTCTTTGTCGGTGATAAAATTATAACAGAGCGAAAGGGAATTGTTGATTCGAATCTTAAACTAAAGTTATTTATCTCTGGGGAAGGTAACGGCTTGTACGTTGATTGAAAGTTGACACGAAGGTTCGCCAATAACAACAATTTGTCCACCACATATAAACGTGTCATGGGACTGCACTGAGGTCAAAGTTTGATGTTAAGGCCATCGAACTCATCTGAAAATCAATAATATTAGCCATAAATGGGAAATAATTGAAATGCGTTCATGCTACACACAATCAAAGAAAGTAACGGAGGGGGCGGGGGAGCTTTGCACGAGATTTATCCACGTGATTGTTTTCAATAACCACCAATATATATTGTTAACAGTTGCACAAAACCATCTTTAAATTATTTAGAAGTCCCAACAATACGGAAGTGACGTCTCTGGTGTGTGCGGTCTGGAATTGTATCTGCTTGATTTCCTTAAACTTGAATGGGCTAAATTCCATTTTAGCTACGGTGTTTACCTACGTTTCGTATAATATCGTGAATAGTTATAGGGTAGTTATTTCCAATAAAAGTATGGCAACATTGGTATGTATGGAAAGTAGAGACACCCAATCTTACTAGAAAATACTGGATTGCATAGAAAACACCCATGGGCAAGCACTGGGCATAAAATTAATGTCAGCGTATCACTAACTGGCAACCCGACGGCTTATTGTCTGCCAGCTTGACTTTCTGGGAACAGTAAGGGGTTTACACTTACAACAGACTATGCGATTAAACTGTGGAAAAACATGTTGGCAGATGATAATCTAAGAATTTATTTAGGCTTTGATATGTATGGTAAATGGAAATAAGTAACGACAAATACAAACTGTAAATGGACACTCCCTCAATCAAGTTACATACAAAACAATTCTGCTTAAAATATATTTCTACGGCAAGAGGTAGATTTTTTTCCAATTACAAAGATTCGAGAGTGATTTGAAACAAACGTTTGATATATAAATTACTTTGTTGAATATGTTTTTAGTCCAAATATATCACCAAATCACCCAGTTTGCACCTCAATTGGACAATGTATCTCAAACGGCGTGATTGTTCCTTTAATTGAGGAAATGGAGACGGTACATTTCTTACTTTATCGCACCCGCTATCTCTAACCTATAGTTGACGCGGCTTTCGTTTACGACTGACTCTACATGATTAGCAGTGTTGTATAAAATATAGCAGACTAATTCATTTCTTCTGTGGGTTATAATGACCTCCTTCTGTGTCCTCTAACTGGGTGTTTATGTCCACTTTCACCTAGCGCAGAAAAAACAATATCCACGTGTAGAAACCGTATCTTATGTAGCACCCAGCAAGGCTACGGAAGAACCATCATGGTTGTTCAAGATAGCCCTTTCCACTGGAAGGTGTCATAATGCAATGGATTGGGACTGGTGAAACCTTCGTGTAAAAGAAGTAATATTCCTCTCCCCACAGTTGCTCAAGTAAGAAACAAATACATGCTGTGGCTCAGTGAGTACGGCGTAAGCAGACAAACGAGGAGGTCCACAGTTCCGATGAGAAGAAAAACAGGGGTCCTGTTGCAAAATGCCCCTCATACCACACTGTATGGTGTACGTACGCCCCCCCCCCTTTCAATAGCCCAACGGGTGCAGAAGAATAAAACGCTTAGCTCTCATTTCAGCTCAAATAATTCATATTGGTCTCACAATTATTATGCAAGGTAGTCTCGAAATGACCTTGTTTATGTTCGATTGCGCGTTAAACCCCATTTCCCTCTCGAATTCTATATAGGTTTCTCGACGAGATGCTAAATCATAAATGCATACAGTATGTAACATGTGTATATATTTTAAGATTATATATTTATGTTGCCTACCAGAAATAGGTAAGACAAGTGTGATTTTTGTTAAAGATAATTACATACAAGCTCAGTAGCAATCCAGGTAACGGTAAGTAGCTATATGATAGTGTGTATCAACAAATTAATATTATACAGCCGTGTGGTAAACACCAAAACCTTGTACACTTCAACCTTCAAACGAAATAGTTAGAACACTTTGAGGGGAGGTTAGAGGTAGTTCTAGAGCTAACACGAGTACTTTAAAACGATTTAGTCGGAGGTGAAAGAGTGGTCAGGGTACCAGATTATTGACTAGAATATCCCGAGTTCGAATCCCGACATGGACCGAGAAGAACTATCGGGCTGTTAACTACGTTTTACACTTGTCAGAGAGGTAGCGACTGGCAAGGGGATTGAATATAGTCAATTTTATAGGATAAAGCGTGGTTCAACACTATACATATTGTTGTGTACCTAACACATTGACTTTTAAAATCCTATGAATAGCAGACGTAAACGCCGTTGTCTTGGAAATAACCGTAAGAGAGGGTCAAAATGGTGTAAATATCATATTGAGATGTTGAACCCCATTCCATTTCATTAAACACAATATAAATAATTTGAATAGAATTGCCCATTGTTAAAATAATGCCATCTATTTGTGTACGGTTACTAAAACTGAAATCTGTAATATCACTAAATATAAGTGAAGAACCTGATCAGTGAATTTTGTAATATCACTAAATAAAACTTATCATTGAATGAAACTTGTCATATCACTAAATATAAACTTATCACTAAAATTTGTAATGTTACTAAGTCAACAAACTCATCAATATCACAAAATGCAAGTCAACAAACTTACCAATGAAATTTAATGTATACTATTTCTATATTAATTCATTGAATGAAATAAGAAGCGGGCGTTGTAACCTGAACAGAAATGAAATGTTTTATTTTACGAACCATTCCATACTCTTTAAATTTCCTATTTAAAATTGAAATTTCCTATTTAAAATTGAAATTTCCTATTTAAAATTGAAATTTTAAACTTAATTATTCATAATTTTAAACTTATAATTCATAATTTTGAAAATTGGTTTATAATTTTATTTATAATTTTTGAAGATAAGTTTATAATTTTGAAAAGTAGTTTATAATTTTGAAAGTGGTTTATAACTTTGAAAAGTAGTTTATAATTTTGAAAATTATTATAGAAAATTATGCACAAATTTCCAATAATATCTTATTAAATTGGAAACTTACAATAGAAATTTCAAATTAATTCTTAAAATTAAAAAAAAAGTTTTAAATAGGAAAATCAAGAAGTTAAAAATAGTTCGTATTTGGCCTTCCGTGGGTTGTTTACCACTCTGCACCAGCCTAGCTAACAAAGAAGGGCACGCGTCATGCAGTGTGCTATTTGGGATATTTTTCTCAGAGAGCGGCGCTAACGTCTACTCTTCATCGAATTCCATCTGTCAGATTAACAGAAACATATTAAATAAATTAATATAAATAACACGTAATGCATAGTTGGCAATTACCTACACCGTTTTTATTACGACTTTAATTATTTTCATTACATAACACCACTAGTATAACATAACCAAGTATTTAGCACCTTAAAGTAACAACAACGTTCATCCTTTGCAGGGAGTTAAGATATGCTATATTGTGGTAATCTACAGATTTATTGAATTTTATAAACCTCTACATTTCTCAAATACAACGTCTAGAAACTCTGGTTATTTTAGCCTTTAAAAGGACTACCAAAAAAACCCGGTTGTTTACAATAAGTAAAATTATAAGTACCAAAGATTAACCTGTATAATATTCAACAATAAGTTTGATTAAAAGATGATTTATGACGACAAACTATTTTGGATGGCTTAGACATATTACCGCTTGAATAACGAAGGAGCCACGGTCGATCAGTGAGCAAGGAGGTGGCAGGTGTGTTCGACTTCGTTGTTGGCTGAGAACGTTCCCCGAGATTTTCCTGCGTGGTTCAACCTTTAAGGTGTATGACGGATGGACGAGAAACCGTTGGCGTGCTCGTGAAAGGGCCCTTGACAGTTGGAATTCGATATGCCTGTGTTCATTAGTCCGGTTATTGCCTCCAGTCAAAGCAGAACAGTAGGACGTTAAACTCTATTTAATTTTATTTAATTTCCGGTTGGAGCCAAAAAATGGGATGTTTAAATTAATTTATTTCGTTAAAGATAAGTACATCCTTAAACTTCGAGACACATGGCTGTATATGCATATTGACGTTATATTATTTGCCGTCCAAAATAATCCATTTTAGGAATATTGCACTGTCAATCTAAAAGTACCTCCAGCTCGACTTCAAAGCGAACCCAGAGCTGCTAATGCAGTTTCTTGAACATATGAAACGTAAGCACTCTTTGCATACCAGGATTCAATGGAAAACACTTTCCCCGTGACACGGCTTTACTCGGCACCACTCATCTTGATAACGTTTTGAAATTTTGTGTTGAACACATTTACCTTGCTTAAAGTATCAAGATTTTCTGCAGAATGTTGAACAGTTCTTGTTAATTATTTAATTCAATTACAGGAAAATTAGGAGTAACGTATGGTACAATGGGAGTGTTGGTGTAAATTACAAACAGCTGAATACCACACAAACATTTCAAGAAATGAAGATCATCAGAGATGCCACGAATTGGAATCAAAACCTTAAGGTTAGTTACAGTCAGCTCACACTGATATCGGTATGCTGATCCTCAAACACCTGTAAGATGGACACATTGGCGAGAGCAGAGCAGTTTTGGACTATGTCGTTCTAGTCCATCACAAATTCAGCAGAAAAATGAAATTTTCCACCAACATAAGGCCCTGCCTGTATAACATTGGGCAAGGTAATGACTGTCAGCAAAATTTAAAAGAGTTGTGTCCCTTCTTTGATTCTTGCTAAATCTCTACACGGCAATAACTGAGCCATTATTTAGAAAATGAGACATTCCGTGTAAGAATTGTCTGTTATGCTCTAATCAAAAAAAAAAAAAAAAAAAGAAAGCATATGGTCTCATAAAATTTTGTGCGCTATTACAAATGGCCGAGCGGAGCGCGAAAAACCCCATTTAGGACTCTTTAAGAAGGATGGCAGCGTATAATCAGTGATCATAACATTAGGATTAACCGAATTTCATACTTTCTGTTTCAATGTGAGTTTTGGGGTTTTATTGGAAAATATTACCGAGGCCTTATATAGAGCTCTTTGTCGGTTGATAAAGATTAAATTTAAATTTGTTCTAATTAGATATGAAAAATCTTAATACATTTCAGCCAAGCCGTCGCTTAAATACTGTAACTCTAAAGAATTGATACCTTCATGTTCCTGAAGCAACGACAGCGAGTTTTACTATATCTTGACATTGCTAGATTACTTTACAATTACCGAAACTATCGCTACGTTGTCTGCAGACACGTGAATAGTAGCACCCGGTTAGGGGTTGTGACATAGTGACTTCCACGAACCCTGAACTTTGCAACTCGATTATCACAGGTAGACGTTTCAGCTGGAAAGCGCGAGACTTGGCATTCGCGATGATAGAGGAATCAGATAGGCTCTCAAACTGGGTGAATGCCAATGGACATTTATAGTCTGGAGGCTCAGCGCGCGGGGTGGGGGGGGGGGGGTTCCATCAAATGGGCACAAAACCAGACCCAACTTTTCTAAGGTAAATTTTTGCGTAGAATACGATGCCGAGTGGTAATCAGTCCGCCGTTGGGGCGTTTTTGAGATATTCGAGGTCAAAGGTCAATTGAATTCATTTGCACTGAAAGTGAATGCGCAGTCATTCTTGTATTATGAAAATAAGCTGAAAATGATCGAAAGTAATCACACTTTCAATAAAAATGTAAACTTGTTAAATTCACCTTTGTTCTTTGTGACCCCAGACGTCAAAGGTCACATTTTCCGTTTTAGCACCTGGAAGATTTAAAGTAATAACTGCCAGCGTAAAATATAAAAACTAAAGCGAAACCTGTTCTAATTAATAATAGGAACATTTAAAATTTATCTTTAGGTGGTCTTAACACCGAACTTTTACTTTGGAACGTTGAAAATGATCTTGCATAACAGAACCAAAACGCGTCGGAGCCTGTTTCAAAAATATACGTAAAAACTGTTAAATCAAAATCTTTCCGAATTAGTTTTACAACGAATGCTATACATAACGATACTAGTTGTCTGAAGAAAAAAAAACAATTGAATAGTTCCATGGCTAGAATCCAGCCTGCAGACCGCGTCACAAAGCCTGCCTAAAATTTCCCCGCTAACATTTACCAATACGACATATATATCCTGTGAACTACTATGTACAATGCATTCGTCGGTTTTATCTGCGTCCATGTCCCAGTGAAATTCATAAAAACTCATAACAAATTTGCAAACTTTTAATTTCGTCGTCAGATACGTGTTTTCCCGTCACAGATTAACGTCGGTTTTCCTTGACTGGGGTTCTCGGAAATCCACGTGGTCTGCAGGCTGGAGTCCAACTCTGAAACTATTCAATTGTTTTATTTAGACAACTAGTATCATGTATAACAATCGTTGTGAAAATAAATAGGAGAGATTTCGATTTGACAGTTTTTACGTATTTTTGAAACAGGTTTCAAAGTGTGTTGGTTCTGTTATGCAAGATCATTTTCGACGTTCCAAAGTAAAAGTTCGGTTCTAAGACCACCTAAAGATAAATTCTAAGTGTTCCTATTATTAATTGAACAGGTTTCGCTTTAGTTTTTATATTTAACGTTGACATTTTATTGCTTTAAATCTTCCGAGATTAAAAACGGTAAATTTCACCTTTTGATCCCCAGGGTCACTAAGATTAAAGGTGAATTTAGCAAGTTTACATTTTTATTGAAAGTGTCTATTGAAAGTGTATACTTTCGATCATTTTCAGCTTCTTTTCATAATACAAGAATGACTGCGCATTCACTTTCAGTGCAAATGAAATAATTTGACCTTTGACCCCGAATATCTCGAAAACGCCCTAACGGCCGACTGATTACCACTCGGCATCGTATTCTACGCAAAATTTTACTCTAGAAAAGTTGGGTCTGGTTTTGTGCCCATTTGATGGACCCCCCCCCCCCCCGCGCTGAGCCTCTGGTCTATCATTAGTACCGAAATTAGTACCGAAATATTCAGGGTATTACGCGAAGGCCTTGATAAATTGTACGGAGTTAAGCGGGATAAGGCCTTCTTTTGAAATTGTGATACCTTACGCTATGTAGATCAGTGTAGATTTTCGACAATTAGTTAAGCCTGTGGTTATATTGTTGAATATAATAGTCAACATGGATTACATTTTTTTTTTATCTCTCTAGTCTCAATGTGAAAGGATTTTGTTTATAGATATCGCGTTTCCCTTGCAGATTAATTTCATTAGTTTTATGACTAGTTATCAAGTATAAAACTGTTAAAAATGATTGCTAATTTGGCAGGGACGATAATTAATTAAACATGTTGATGAAATGTTGTATGAAGTCCAACATACATTATCAATTTGTGGGGAGCCACGGTGGATCGGTGAATAAGGCACTGGCTTAATAACCAGGACTTCACGGTAGTGCCAGATAAAATTCCTCGTGATTTTTATTACTTTTTTTCCCTTGTCAGTGGTGCAGGAAAGAGGGCCAAGAAAAAGCGTCTAGTGTCTCATATACCACTGCATATCCATCACTGCTAAGGTTCACTGGGGCCACAGTGTGAACTTTAGTATATGCCCAAACTAAATGCTATAATGTATAACCATTGAATGTCGGAATCAGCAGTGTAAAGAGATAACAGGTGTTCTATAAAATACAAGCATACCCTGCCTTTATTAAAGATACATTATGGGAGATAAGATAAAGAGATGGTAGTTCTCGCTATAATAGTTAAAAACTAGATAGTGTAAAGGTAATTTGCTGAAAATTTCAGTCAAATTGATCCACTATGAGTCGAGAAAGAAGCGGGTGAAATTTCTGCATAGTCTCGGTCATCATTACTAAAATCATTAATATAAACAGCATAGTCTCGGTTATCCACTTTGTCTGATTTAATTATCAACGGCCGTTAGCGGCATATAGGAATCTAATCCAGCCAACATCGAAGGCTAGCCTTGACATCGAGAGTTTATTATGGTCTGGATAAGTTAATTAATGTCTAATTGATAATTTAGATAACATTTCAGGCCTAAAGAAAGACATGTAATAAGCAGATTTTGCTCTTGCATAATGCATGTTTAAACGTGGACAATAAAGCTTAAATGAATAGATCTGTGTTCGTGCAATTCACTAACGTCTATTGATTAATGCGCAATAGTATCGTCAGTTGTTAAGCATCCCACTGAGTTCGAAATTGCTGGAACAACTGATTCAAATAAGCCATGGAGATTGAATAATAATAATTGTAGGCCTATATGTATCGTTGTGTATGATAACGACAAGATAATCATTCAGTAATTGTCCTCTATGGAACTGTTGTGGTTGAGTTGATATAAGACTCTCCCTCTAAATCCAGAGTTAAAATTCTGCAAGATATTTTGCTTGTGGATACAATTAGACAGCAAAGCCATCTGGCAAACGAAATGAAACGAAATCAAATGTGGTTTAACGTCAAACATCAACCCTCACCACCTTATTCAGTCACGTCAATGTCACGTCATCCCGAATCGTATTTACGTTATCAACGAATATCGGGAATACGGCGACTGCATTCGTTGCATTCTGAGCAGAAGTAATATATGTTAGATCGTTCGAAACTACGCACCACCGCTTCACCATTTAATGCCGCTGATTGTCAATTGAAGGATTTTGAAACCCTTTTGTAAACTATCATATTGTGAAAGTTTATCTCTAATGGGTAAATCAGTCCAAAAATAGTTAATTTCCGTATTTACAAATTTACGATGAATTTTTAAGTTTAAAAAATGCTTATTAATATTCGACATACTTGCAAACTTATAGATAAGTCTTTAGATGGGCATGCTTTTTATCAAGTTGAACCCAAGTTGGAAGATAATCTTCAGCTGATAGTTTGTTTCTTTCTTCATTAATGTTAAATGATTAATTTGAATACATTTTAGCGTGGCGCAAGCCTTGAAAATTATATATTTTGTCAAAATTACAAATGACAACCTTCGGCATTAAACAATACTTGAACCTAGCAATTTTTTCTGTATGACTTTATAATTGAAGATGTTACGTACAGCTTAAACATACATTATGCAAGAGCTAAATCTGCCTATCGCAGGTCTTTCTTTAGGCCTGAAATGTTATCTGAATTATTAATTAGACATTAATTAACTTATCCAGACCATAATCAACTCCCGGTGTCATCGCTAGCCTGCGATATTTACTGGATTGGAATCCGATCTGCTGCTCAACGCTGATTGATGATTAAATGAAAAAATGGATAATCGAGACTATTTTTTATCGTACCGACTTTATTAATGATGATCGAGGCTAGGCCTAAAAGTCAATCGCTACATTCTCGGTTCAGAGTGGATCAATTTGACTGAAATTTCAGCAAATCCCCTTTACATTATCTAGATTTTAACTATTATAGTGAGAACTGCCAGCTCTTTATCTAATCCCCAAAATGTATCTTTAATAATAATTATTCACAGGAAGTACAGGAAATATACTTAGATCATATACGCCCTAATCAGTGTCTACATTGCAATGATGT